CTTGGTGAGCAGGTCCCCAGCCTTTCGAGCGCCCTGGAATCTGCCGATTCTTTTCAATTGCTTGATCATGTCCTCGTCGCCAAAATGACTATTATGCTCGAATTGGGGTTCCTCTGCGTAGGCCACCCTCGCCGCATCGACTATAATTCGCGCGGTCATGCCAAATACGCGATAGCGGCTTAGCCCCATAGAAATCTCCTGTTCTTCTAATTGATCGACCGCGGCATCCTGGTCAATACTCTTTCTTCTCGGCTTTGTAACTTTCTGGTTTGTTATTGGAACGAAGAAATGGTGCACTACCAGAGAGGCTTTAGTAAACTGAACAGCCCCAACCCCCTTCAAAAGATAGGAATAATAGGCAGTGTGGTTAAGATTGTAGTGTAGGGAATGGGCGAAAAAAGAGGTCATATTCATAACATAGAAAACATACTGCGCCACCAAGTCCCATTCCAATTGGTCCAGGTCCCTTCATACCACTCGTTCGGGTCGCCTGGAATACTGTGATCACCGTCGCCACGGGGTTCATCCTCTGTCATCAGGAAATTATGGAAAGGCCCGGAGAAGACGGCGGCAACCTCCTTGCCGTCCAATTGGGCCATGAACGCTTCTTCAGGATCGGCGTCTTCGCCCGTGGCTTCATTGAAGGAGTGAAGAAACGCCGCACATGGTCGCACGACGAGCTCGGTGCGTGCGAGGTTGGCAGGAAATTCGCAGAGATGTTCCACCCAAAAAGGGGACGGGAGCTTCTGGTCGATATTCGGCAGGCCGATTTCCTCAAACGCTTCGCGCCGAGCGGTCTCGAAAGCCGTTTCTGATAGAGAATCTGCCTTCCCACCTGGCAATGCTGCTTGACCGGGATCTGATGAGAGATTTGAAAATGCGTGAAGAATTGGTTAGCAACTGGTTTGTTAGCTACAGAAAAAGGCCCACGCCCGGGTTTTCCTCCCCAACCATAAAAAGAGCTAACTAGCAACACACCCCTCCTGCACGCATGACATACAAGAATTGAGAGTGTTAGACCTGATGGTTAAAATGACCCGGAGATCACCTCGTCGATCGGCGAAGAGCAGAAGCAGCACGGCAGCCCGTCGGGAGAGTGGGACGGACTCATAATTCGTTGGCGGCGGCACATAACGCCTCAGTCGCTCGATTGCTTGCTAATCCTCCTCACCTGTTAGAGGACTTGAGAATATAAAGCAGCAACAATATATATATATATATATATATATATATATAGTTACGTCGCACCAAGCCTGTGTAAGTGTACGTATTTAGGGCATTGTCAAAAGACCAACCTTTGATGCAGGAGATAGGGGCGCCATGGTTCTTGACAATTTCAATCCTAGTGAAGAATTCAGGATAATATATGTCTTACTCCTATGTGTGTGCAATAAACTAAATGATTTTCGTCTGATCATGCCTTTATCCCCGGAAGGGGTGCCAACATCAACATTCTTATACACACACGGGGCTTCGTGTTTAGGGCAGAAATCGCCGGCTTGCCGAGGTTAGTTATACTTTCATGGGAGTCGTCAAGGAGTGGTTGAACAAGGCTACGGCGGAAGAACATTTCGACCTCAGACACGAATGGATAATGCTGTATAATCTAACTGGCCTAATTACGTTATTCTCCTTCAGCACAGAATTTCTCGTTTTTATATCAAGTTACACAACTTGCGACATGGAAATCTTTTCGATATGTCCGGACAATGAAGCTAGGGAGAAAGAGAGTAAAATAATATTCACACCTATTAGATAGATCCACAAACACAACCCTAAGATCGAATGTCCCGATTTTCAAAGGATTTATTATATTTTCACTCTTGTGTTGGGCACAGTGATGAAACTGCCTCTTTCTCTATGAAATAACCAACCCACCCAGTTCCATCAACTTGGGAGACAAACCACGGCTAAACCCTGTTAATTCCAAACACCAACATCTATCCCAATAAAATTAACAGTAAGTGAAGCAAAAGACTTAAGAAGGGAAAGCCATCGTACGAAAACAATGGAAAACTGGCCACAGAGAATCTAGCAAAAGAGAGTTACGGATGGATGCTCCGTGTTGGGGACAAAGGAGAAAAAACACAGGGTTCGTAGTTGGAAACAACAAAGAAAAATCTGTAATTAACAATAAAAAATTATGTTTATAGTTATTCACAGTCAATATGTCAAGAGAGAAACCAAAGAAGACAAAAGGTGATCAAATTATGAGACAGTCAGCCAGCGCCATGAAGGGAAATATGCAGTCCTAGGTGGTAGTGAATCGCCTTGGGAATATTCCAGATGACGAAGTTGAAGCGGTAGGTGCCATACCAGCCAAACAACCTTTTCAAGCTCATTGCCTCAAACCCAATATGCAGAGAGTACTGGGATAAATCTATTTCTGTGTCTTCTTCTTTGGCTGCTTCTCAGCGTCGGCTTTGGACTCTTTAGCCTCAGAAGCCTGTGATTCCTGGACAGGAGCTGCTGCTTCCATGTTCTTGTCCTCCTTATCATCGATATCCTCATGATCCTTAGGAGCAGAAACACCAGCTTCCGCACGTTCAGTATTTTGTTCGTTTTCCTCCTCAATAAGCTCTTGCTGTTCCTTGATGACCTCAAGACGCTGCTTGTTGGTTGCGGCGCCTTCAGCATTATGCACCTCAAGCTCAATCTCATGGAAAAGCTCCTCGGGAATACTAGACAGGACGGAACGCAGCGCATCAATCTGGGAGGAGATTTCATATTCCTGGGATTTTTGAGTGTACAAATATGCGTTGCTGAGAACAAGAAGGGTCGATGGCACGCGTTTGTTAAGGCGCAGGTTTAGCCACATGGAAAGATCGTCCCGCAGGCGGCCTGGGGATATGCCATGTGTGCGCAACCCACGCGAGGCACAGGCCATCTGGAGTTCGGGAACAGAAAGAGACTCGACGCCTTCATATGAGATGGCTTTGTCATCACGCTTGATTTGACGCATCCGGTGACGCACATTGTACCGGAGCATTGCGTCTGTGCCAAATGTATTGAGATTTATGTACTTGCACATTGCCACTAGTTGGGGCCGTGACAAGTTATCCAAAGTAAGGTCATCCTTGAAGGTTTGGCAGACCTTGATGACGTCTTCATCAGAAGGTGACTCGCCCGTAGCTCGAACCTTTCTGAAAAATTGGGCAAATTCTTCTTTTTTCGCGTTCATAGCGTTGACGGGAAGACCGGTTTCCTTGAGTGTGTTCTGAAGGAACGAACCCATTTCCTTCCGTGTAGCCCGAAGAATTGCGGCCTTCGCCTCCTTCGACTTTTGGGCTTCATAGGTGCTAGGAAGAAGGTTTGGGAAGAGCTTGAGAGCGACGGGTAGAAGTAATTCGGCAAAAGGGACAATAACAAAGACAGAGAATGGCACCAATCGAGCTAAGTCTTTAACAGTTCGTTGAAGCTGTTGCTTGTAGGTTAGGAAGTCTCCAAGAACAAGGTCAAGAACGCAATGTATATAGAGATGAAAGACGAACCTGTCGATATTCTCTGCGGCTAAGCTCATAGCCAGCAGCCATTTTCAACGCCAATTTTGTACTAATCCGGACTTCCGTAGCCAACAACTTCGTTCCATCCCAATAATGCTGAGCTTCCTTCTTGATCTTCTGGCCCAGCGTAAGCTTCTTGGTTTCCTTCTTCTCCTCAATAGCCTTTTTCTCCACCGCTTCCACTTCAAACGCGTTTATATCCTTTCCTTCCGTAACTGCCGCTTCAGCAGTAGCGTTACTTATGGCTGTCGCTTCCACCTGTGAGTTAAGTTGACCTGAGGATTTTTCCCCCGATGCTCTCGCTGTCGGGGTTTTCAGCGCAGTGTTTGTGGTAGGAAGTGGTCTCTTTGCCAACTCGGCATTGAATCCCGGAGGAGGGAACGATGATTCCTCTATGGGCCTCGAGGAGGTAGAGGGCTCTGTGGCATAGGTACGCTGCTGCAACGGGATGAGGATGGCAAGGGCTTGGACATCTTGCGGGAGGGAACGGCGGTAACGTAAAGTCACTGAGGAATAAGGTCCTAGGCTTCCTGGGGTATGGCCACGGACTACACTGAGTTAGTGAACTGGTTCTTCGCTGGAGAGGTATTCGACACCAAACGTACAGGCTGCCATCCTCTGAACTGGCACCGCATTGCGGGCCAGGGCGACTGATTTCATGCTGTGCCGTTAAGTTGAGGAGAAGGATAATCCGAGTGCCTCCTTGATATAGACGTAGACAGTATAAGGTGAACAGCAAAATTCTCGTTCAAGAAAAGTTATGAGGATGTATGTGCTGAGTGGTAAAAGATTTTGGGCACTTGCGGTGTTAGATGCGGGTAAGCAAAGTTTTGGAAATATCACGTGAATTTAATGTCCAACTGTTGGAGCCTAGGCTTCCTATTATGGACTAGCGCACCGCACAGTAGTATATAGCATCCCTGAGATAGGCTACCAATACAACCACTTCAGACGTTCCCACATCATCTTTCCAGCCAATGGTTAACTAGTTAGTTAACTAACTAACAAGTTAACTAACTAACTAGTCAACTTGGAAAAGCTGAGTCAGCATTCGGAATCTTATGCATTTAAACGTCATTTCAGGGTGCAGGTATATATCATAGGTGAAATAGTTATTTACAATATCTCAGTATCAGATTTGTAATATCCTGTTTCATCATCCTAAATGATCAATGGGACAGCAAGAAAAGCGAGCCTATCAGACATGTCAGAATATCGACACTCAGAAAACACATGCTGTTGAACATTGGAAGGAGAACAACAGACGCCATATATTCGTGTTGAATAAGCCATAAGGACAGCAGGAAAACACAACCCGCTAACGGACAAACTCACATCGCAGTATAGAAAGGTCATATGCAGAGATATCAAGTCCCAAAAGACAACGAAGAGCAAGAACGCTTCACGAGGGTATCCACAAAGTAAGACAAAAAATGGAATAGGGGGCAGGCAAAACAATAGTAGTGAAGGCGAAAACGGAATAGGGGGGCCGACTCTCTAAGTTCTGGCATGGAGTCCAGAACTTGGATTGGCCTCCACACTGGAACTCTCATGTTGCGCATCGAGCAGCGGAATCCGGTTAACAGCGGATTTCTCCGGTAGTAAATCGGGCTCCTTGATATCCATATCATCATGGCTATGAGGCTTACCGTTGCCGCTAGATTCAGGTGCCAAAACGGGACTTGTCGAGCCTCCCTCCGGAGATGACTGCCACTTGGCAACATCTTTCTTGAGCTGTTCTAGTTCCTTCTGAAACCGTTTGCCGAAGACGTCAATGTAAAAAGTAGCTCCGTTGTAGACACTCCACGAAAACACGACCATAAGGAAAAGCGCACTGGCCCAGCGGTACCAAAACCACAAAGGGCATGGTGTTATGGTAAGCAGCGCATAGACATACTGTATGAGCATGAAGGCAGGCTCTTGTAATTGAAGTGGGAGGTTAAGGACAAATTTCCCAATCCAGGTTTTGGCATATGATTTCCGCAGCCATGTAAAACTTGTTGGCCGCCCTGCTGCAATCTTCTCACGGCGACGAACAGTGATAAGGAAGTGATAAGACAGCTGCCACACAGCATAGGGCACGGAAGCCCATATCATCATTGCGAACAGCGTGTAATGTTCTGGGCTACCTGGTTCGCTGAATTTGATGTTGTAGATAGCAGGAAATCGTCTAAGCAATACTTCCGGAGGTGTCATATGGACCAAGCAATGGAGGGTGACCGGGGGCATTATATGAATGAACAAGCTGGTTTGGATGTGGTCAGGAATATGCTAAGAAAGCGATATTGGTCCAATACCTTCAGTAGACGTACCTGGTAACTTTATCGAAACTGTGAAAAACAAGCGAATTCCTCCAAAAGGCAATGGCAATGGCATTATTACCATAAGCAAGGCAGTATGTACTAAGGAACAATCGTTTCGAGCTCGGAAAGACCCAGATCGACAAAACAGCCAAGAAATTGACAAAGTAGCAGAGATCAGCTAGGAAGTAATGGTAGCCACGCTTGCGATAAGTGTAGTAGCGTATCGGCATGAAGTAGAAAAACTGAGCAGAGTACCAGTAAAAGAAAGATTGCGGGTAGGCACCAATCAAATATCCGCAGATGAGGATATTAAGGACCCCTGCAATGAAGGAGATTTTCTCGCGGGCGGTCACCGTCGCGGTGTCGTTCCAACGAGCACCCAGTCGCTCAACGGAATCTTTCATTCGTTTCCGGTATTTCTCGAGCTGTTCGTCTGACGAGGGTACCCGTCTGCGCCATTCCCCCACTACCTTTTGCTTCGCGTGGATGCCCGTGCTCTTCAGTTTTTCCTGTTGTTTCCTAACCTTCTCCTTCTGAGCGGTTAATGTATTCTGCCATCTTTCTAGATATTGCGGTAGTGCCAAGTTTCCCAGAATATCGAAAACGGTAAGCTTGTCGAGAGGCGGAAAGGGTTCCCAATCTTCCTGGAACGAGCTGCTAGTTCCAAACGAAGACGTGCGTGAGAGGCCATTGGATGTTGGTGAAGCATTTTGTTGTTGTGAAATTGGTTGCGCATCCTGATCATTTGCTATGGCGTCGAGGGCATTCCCATCGGGTTCTGTCAAGTATTCATTTAGGTGATCTAGCTCTGACCTGCTTTTCGGTATCGAGAGTGGTTGAGGCATCCTTGCCCAGGCCTGCCGGGCGTTGTATATTGGTAACTCTGCTTAAGATTAATGCGGAATTAAAAAGCTGAACTTTATTTTTTGATAACTCGAATCAAACATCAGCCTTAAGAGCTCCCAAGTTGCGATTGGATTCAAACGATCTCAAAGTACAGGAAGAGCAACAGGACATAGCAGCAGCATGATACTCACCAATAGAAATAACATGTGACTGCAAAGGTTGTGACCATATATGAATTAAGTCTTTAAATATCGCGAGCTCTTCATACAAGCTGCGGATGTAATCAGGTATGTGGCGGATCTATATAAAATACAACATGCGGAGAGAACGGGCACGGGATCTAAGTCGTATTTATCATTAACAGGATAGATGCCATCATCAGGCCCGCAGTTGGGTCATTTAGTTAAATGTCCAGTCAAGAGAGTGGTCTGCTGCTCCACGTCCAAGGAGCAGATCGTACATGAGACTTCCACCCGGCTGGTTTTTTGGACAACAGCTGGTTGGAGGTTTGATCTTCTCCGGGTTGGTTCGTTCGTTACGTGACTGGCGCTAGACCGGGCTCGGCGGGCTTACGTGACCACATCACATGAGTCGGTTGTTTGCTCGGTTTTGCTCTCTGGATTGATTTAGCGGATGCTCATTTGGCGCCGGAAGAGGAGTTGGGCGGAGCAGAATCCATACGTATCCTTACAAGACCCCTAGGGCCCGGGGAAGAATTAGGAGATGATTCGGGTTTCCCAGAAAGCGGACACGGAATAAAATAAAAGGTGGCTGGGGTAATTTACACAAAGCCTAATCATCAGCGCTCCCTATGAACCTCGTTGTAATACTGCAGCATTCCATCTAACTCTAAATAACTCTTGTTTTTGAGCGAAAACAAGCCAAAACCAGAAAAGTATCCCCTCACAAAAACGTAATCTGTCACCAAAAAATGGCGAAGATGTACCTCCCTAGGTCACTATTCTATATGAGCTCCAGAAAGAAGAACACCAAAATAACCCACAAGTTACATAGGGGCCAGCCAGCAAGGGAACATCAATGACCTCATAGACACCAAATTACAATAAAGCAGGCATGCATCCCGATAGATTGATTATCTATCAAATCATGATTCGGATCTTCTGTTACAGCACAATTGCTCTGGAGGGAGAAACTTGGCACGCTAACCATAGTTAACAAGGTTAGTTCACCAATCTAACCACCTGGTTAGATAAGCAACAATCCGCCCATCGCCAAATTTCGCGACGCGATCCGAGCGGAGAAAATCTGTACCCCAACACTCGACATTTTTTCCCTTTTCGCCTCACCCATTGAGTTACAGGTGACGCGATTCTCCATTCCAGTTTACCAGCTGTTGCAAGCCTTTGCACTTTGCGCCCCTACGTTTTATCTAGCGTTTTATAATCACCTGTTCATCTTCCAATTGGCGTGCAGGAGGGAGAGCGCGATTCTGAGAAGTCATCATGGGAAAGCTAATTCGCCTCGAACTTTTCAGTATGTACCCTCTTGGCCTGCTATTGCAGAGGATATTGAAGTAGTACTACATTACGCGTGATGTGATATGATGCTAATGCGCGTCACAAATAGATTTCAAATCATACAAGGGGCATCATACCCTTCTTTTTGGCGATGCCTACTTCACGTCGATCATCGGGCCTAATGGCTCGGGGAAGTCAAATTCGTTAGTGACTATCGCTCTCATAAGCACGCAATGTCGATACTGACACGTGGACAGGATGGATGCAATCTCGTTCGTTCTAGGAATCAAATCATCCCACCTCCGCTCAACGCACTTACGCGACTTGGTTTACCGTGGGCGGGTGCTCCGTACATCAACCATCAATGACGATGGCTCCGCGAAGAATCCTGAAAATGGTGTCAACGGTGACGGCGAACCTGACGCATCCCAAGAGCCTGCTGAACGCAATGACCCAAAAGTTGCATGGGTGATGGCGGTGTACGAAGATGACGCTGGGGAGGAACAACATTGGAAACGATCAATTACGAGCCAGGGAGTGAGCGAATATCGCATCAACAATCGTGTTGTAACGGCACAACAGTACAACCAGTCTCTCGAAGATGAAAATATTTTGATCAAGGCTCGCAACTTCTTGGTGTTCCAAGGAGACGTGGAATCGATCGCATCTCAGTCCCCTAGAGACCTGACCCGTCTCATAGAGCAGATATCCGGTAGTCTCGAGTACAAAGCGGAATACGAAAGACTCAAGGCAGAACAGGAAGAAACAGCAGAACTCCAAAATGTTCAATTGAACCGCCGCAGAGGCATCAACTCCGAAATCAAGCAGTATCAAGAACAAAAGAGAGAGGCGGAGAATTATGCCAGGAAGGCGGAAGAACGCGACCAGGCAATTATTACACATATTCTTTGGAAACTCTTCCACTTCCAACGTTTAATTGAGGAATCAAGCGCGGAGATACAAAAGCATCAAGACGAATTGAAAGAATTCCGGCGTGGCTTAGAAAAGTATGAAAAAAGCCTCGAGGAGGCTAAGAAGGATAATGCTCGAGTTGGTAGAGACGTAGCAAAAGTTGAAAAGAACATTAAAGCCAAGGAAAAAGATATCGAGGATACGACGAATTCGCTCGTCCCTGTTGATGAGAAAATCGAAATATCAACCCAAAAAGTCCAGAGATATGCTGCTCGAATTTTCGAAATCGAAAAGGAAAGTAATGCACAATCGAAAACCGTGAAACAGCTTGAAAGGGATCTGAAAGTTGTTGAAAAAGCTCAATCCCACTGGGAAGATGAGTGGAAAAAAACTGCCAGCAAAAGAGGGATCCAACTCAGCGATTCTGATCTTCAAGAGTTCAACAAGCTTAAGGAAGATGTGAATAAGCGTTCATCAGCTGCGCAAAGCAAACTCGACAACTTTAAGCGTCAGAGGAAGGCCGATGCTGAAACAGTTAACAGCTTAAAGAGCAATTTCGAAAGTACAGAGTGGCAAGTCAAAAATCTTCAGTCCGACGTAAACAATATGTTGGATCGCAAGGCAAGCATTACGGAAACCATTGAAGCCACCTCCAAAGAAATCGATCAGAAGAAGAAGGAGCTGAATAATCTCACTTCAGAACGTCTTCGTGTAGCGCAAATGCGGACGGAACTTGAAGAGAAGCTTCAGGTCACTTTGAAGAAGCTCCTTGAGGTAGACGATGGCCGCAAGCAAAGCGAGAAGGAACTGCGTACCAAGGAACTAATATCAACCTTGAAGCGCATATTTCCAGGAGTCAAAGGCCGGATCAGCGAACTTTGCAAGCCCAAGCAAAAGAAATATCAAGAAGCTGTTAGCACCGTCCTTGGCCGGCATTTCGATGCCATCGTAGTAGACAACGAGAAAACAGCCAAGGAATGTATCCAGCATCTACGAGATCAAAGGGCAGGCCAAGCAACGTTCATCCCACTAGAGACCATTCAAGTAAAAGCCTTCAATTCTAGCCTAAAAGGTATGCACCGGGGTATGCGACCAGCCATTGAAACTGTTGACTTCGACAACTCTGTTTCCCGCGCTATCACATACGCCTGCGGAAACGCAATCGTTTGTGACGACCTAGCCACCGCCAAGTACCTATGTTATGAGAAAGGAGTCGACGCCAAAGCAGTGACTCTGGATGGGACGATCATCCACAAGGGTGGTCTTATGACTGGTGGACGAGGCCCTGGCAGTCAGCAATCTAAGCGCTGGGAAGATACAGATGTCACCAACTTGCACAAATTGAAAGACAAACTTATCGCAGACCTGGCCAACCTCCCTAAAGCTCATCGCAAGGGCGCGGAAGAAGAGAGCCTCCAAGGACAACTTGCTGGATTGGAGCAGCGTCTTGCTTATTCTCGAGATGAGTTGAAATCCCTGGACAGAAACATCGAGAGTAGGTCCAACGAAGTGGACTTTGCCAGCCGTCAACTGAAGAGCATCCAACCCAAGTACCGTGAGAAGAAAAATGCTCTCGAAGAACTGGATAAATCTATTGAACAAGCCCAAAGCTCTGTCAGTGGAGTTGAAGATGAGGTCTACAGTGCCTTCTGTCGCCGTCTGGGATATTGCAACATCAGAGAATATGAAGCTCAGCAAGGCTCGCTGCAACAGGAAGCTGCAGAGAAGAAACTTGAATTCACAACCCAGAAGAGCAAGATAGAGAACCAACTCAGTTTCGAGAAGCAGCGACTGCAGGCATCCGAAGACCGGGTTGGAAGTCTGCGTTCCCAGGAAGAGCGAGATCGAACTCTTATTGCTGATCTCGAGGCCCAGCGTAAAACCATCAAGGATCATCTCGATACTCTCAACGCTGAACTAGACCAACTAGGCGAGGTCCTCGCGGAACAAAAGGAGGCTTTCTCGCAATCTGCAGAGAACCTGGCTGCGCAACGTCGAGAGGTTCAAAAACATTCTAAGAATGTTGAGGCTACGCTCAAGGCTGTCAGCTCACTGGATGGCGAGAGACAACGCCATGCCTCAAGCAGATATGCGCTCTTACGCCGCTGCAAGCTGGAGGATATTGATATACCCCTCGAAAAGGGCTCGGCTCCACTCTCTACACTCCCCATCGATGATCTGGTCCAAAACGATGAAGATGTGATGGACGTGGACGAGGAACAGACTTTGGGAAATATCCGTGCTGCTGCTATCCATGATTACGGTATCGACGTTTACTTCGAAAGTCTAGGGGACTCTCTGAAAGAGGTATGTATTAATCTCCTCCTTATTAGCACTTACTGCTTAAATAACTAATCTTCTACAGGATTCGGACGAGAAGGTTGAAGAAGAGTTGCTGGATAATATCAAATCTCTCAACAGCGAGCTTGACAAAATGGCGCCAAACATGAGAGCTATGGAGCGACTCGAAGGCGTCGAGAATAAGCTCAGGAGCACGGAGAAAGATTTCGAAGATGCCCGCAAACGCGCCAGGAAGGCCAAGGAAGACTTTGAGGCTGTGATGCGGAAACGCTCTGAACTTTTCAACAAGGCTTTCACGCATATTTCAGAGCAGATCGAGCCCATATATCGCGATCTGACAAAGTCAGCTAGCTATCCCATGGGAGGAAAAGCGTAAGTCCATTGAAATGAAAGATCTAAATACCTACATCGTGAAAACGCACGTAATCTCACTACTTCCCCAATTTCTGCTTGACAGTTATCTCGATATCGAGGACTCAGAAGAACCCTATCTCGACGGTATCAAATACCACGCCATGCCGCCGCTCAAACGGTTCAGAGACATGGAACATCTCTCTGGCGGAGAGAAGACCATGGCAGCTCTAGCTTTGCTTTTCGCAGTACACTCGTACCAGCCCTCCCCCTTCTTCGTGCTGGACGAGGTCGATGCGGCGCTCGACAATACCAACGTAGCAAGGATTGCCAACTACATCCGCGACCATGCTGCACCCGGTATGCAATTTATCGTCATCAGCTTGAAAACGGGTTTGTTCCAAAACAGCGAGGCGTTGGTGGGTATTTACAGGGACCAGGCTGCGAATAGCAGTAAATGTCTGACGCTGGATGTAAGTCATCTATCTCTCCATCAGTCAATATCACTGTCACTAGTTTTCGTCATCGCGCTATATACGTACTTGCATACTAATGGTTGGTACGTATATGTAGCTTCGAAAATATTCATAACATCGCCTGTTACATGAACAGATTGTGTTTGTTTTTCTCTTCGTATTTCATCGTTCATATAGGCAGAGATACGATACCTGTCAGGCCATCGATCCTCTATCCATCTCACAGTCAAAGATACTCATCTATGGACATCTCATCAGGATTCGCGTAAGGTAGATATCACGTATGAGCTGTCGTTTCAGATTGAGGATCGACGAGCATCGATCAGGCAGTCCAGTACCCATCGCTTGTCTCAACGATAATCATCAGCGCTTTTCTATTTTCTTCACCAATCTCACGGCAGCAAGCAACCACATCATGTTTCTATCGTATAGCTTAGCTACTTAATGAAAAGGACCTAGTTACGTACCTGTTCATCCTTCCACCTTTTTTCCAGTCCTCTTGATATCCATACCACTCTATTTTATCCATACGTCTTCTCTCCCCCCACCTTACCATCTCATACTATGTCTAAAACCATCCACTCCATATCGTCAACGCGTCTAAAATCATCAAAATCCCTTCCTTTTCGACCCGAAGAGCAAAATGGATGCTCCGTTTCATGAATTCCTGGTACTCTCTGAGTCACCAAGCCCTTAAATCGTCCACCGGGTCACTGTCGGTGCACCAGGCCACGCGCCCATGCCACCCAGGCATCTCCTGGGTAATAAATATGTATCCATCGACAGCTAACGACGCGGGGTCTGTCTACCTGAAATCCCCTCTGTGCGGGGTGGTTGCGGCATGTGTTAGGTATCGGTGACGGCCGGTCGGGCACGAAGAAGCGTGGTGGTAGTGGCTCGGGGTAAGGTCTACAATGTCAGAGCAGCTCAGGGCAGTGACCACATGGGCCTTTCTATATATTCGCAGGGGAGGCATCGATATAGAGGCATAGATGGTCGGGAGGCTGAGGATATGAGGATGGATATCATATTTCTACGGCTGTTTTCTGATGCAGCTGGCTCCATTTACTGTGGGGTCTTTGGGGGGGAAGGGACGATTTGGGGGGGGATTGTATACGTCCGTCTCTAGCTTCTTTTATCGATTTAGTTTTTGTTTATTTATTTGTTCACGTGTTGACTCTTTCCTGCTCTCTATATACGTAGAAGATAGTGGAAGATGTTGCTTCTCGGTGTGCAGAGATGATATATCTGTATGCATGCAGCCACAACTCCTGGCCACAGATACATAGTTCACTGCACGAGCCCTCTGCGCTGATTCTATACAGCCTGGCACCGGTTTCCCCTATGCAGCAGTATTTCTGCACTACGCGGAACACAATTGGGGGTAATACGGTGATGGATAAGAAAGAATAGTCCGACTGTACGCAGTTATGAAGTGGGAGTCTGTGGCTCGTTTTCAAGCTGCATCCATCTGCTGGCAGGATCTGCGCCCTCCTGTACGGACTCTATCTCTACGTCTTGTAAGAACATATGGGTATGATGGCGAGAAGGAGGAAGGAGACTTAACTTCGTCTTTCCAATTTGGTTCTCGCGACTTGTTTCAAGTGAAATTTATATACATGACTGTGCTCGTAGTGTTGGTGGTGCTGAAGAGAAAGGACCGATAACAGAATGAGAGTGATGGTGACAATATATCAGCAGAATCTTTGCCAGGGGCCAGGGGCATGATTCACAAAGTGATAACTGGAAATAACATATTCGAAGCTATCCCCTCCTCCCCGCCCAAAATAATAATAATAATAATAATAATAAATGCATAGAATGAAATGAAATACAAGAATAACTTGTTTGCGTATTAACAAGATCGTAACCGCCGGCACCGCGTACGATCTCATGGAAAGAAAAAGGGGAAAGAGAGTCATGTGCTTGAAATTCAAAAGTGGAACATAGACGAGTTGGAATGTAGAAGACATCTGAAAAGGAATAAATGCACCAGGAAATAATACATTAATTAGAAAAAAATCCAAAATCAATGAGATCCTTCAAAACATGGAGTAGACAAAAACGTTCTTTAAGTATAAGGATCTGGTGAACTTCCGTTCTTCAACATTTCGTGGATGGTATCCCAACGAGAAATATTCTCTCTGCTGGGCAGGTGTTTAAGAATCTAGACGGGAGTTAGGACGTCGTGAAATTATATGTCATGTCTGAGAGGGATATAATTAGAGGTAGCAAATACCTCCTGCAATTGCCGAATATAATCCGCAAACTTCACGCGGAGAACACCCAAGGGGCCGTGAACTGGGGCAAGCAGACGGGGTTGCCCAGTGACATTATTGATATGCAACTTACGGCAAAGCCGATCAATCTGGTCCAGGTTGAGCATGTCAAATTCTGGAACCGGATCTCCGAAGTGATAGATCCAAGGAGCTTTGCGGTAGCAACCTTCGCCGCAATACTCACCAGCCCGAGCAAGGACGATATCAGAATTAGATCCGAACTCTACGGCTTCTTCCCACTCTTGGTCGTGGTGAGGCGGCTCGGGTTCCTCATAGGGTGGCCCGGAGAAAGGGTCCTGTTCGATTCTGAATGTTAAAATTGTTCTGGAATCTCTTCTTTCTTCCTATTTTTTGAATGGGGGAATTGTCACTTACGTATATTGAACTAACGACGGACTTTGCTTCGTTGGCCTCTTCGGAGCCCGCTTCTTTGGAATCCGCTCTATATTCACGATGGAAATGGGTTTGCAAGGCCAAACGGTCACCAACTGGCGGGTCATGATATGCGACTGAATCGTCTGGTGCCTTAGAATCACCGTCAAGTGGAGTACCAACAGCCACAGCAGTGAAATTAGGATCCCTCGGTTTGTCAGGGAGAGAGCCCTTTAGAAGAACGGCACTACCGAGATACTTCATCTCGCCGTCATTTGACGGATTATTTGCTTGGTTCGCTCCCGGCATGGCAACTATTTCACCGTACATGAGAATGAATACATAGAACAGTTAAATGTATGGAGGACATACCTTTTGATAAATTTGGAGGCTGGTTTGTATTTTTATTTTATTTTATTATATTTTATTTCTGAATTAATATTGCTTTCAAAAAGCGGTGTTTAATCTGTATTAAAGCTTGTCGGATGGTAGATGCAAGGAGGTAAAACCGATGCAACAACAGACGTTATAACGTAGTTTGAGAGAGAGAAGAAGAGGGAGAGGGGAAGGAGAAAAATAGCGGAGGAGAGAGGATGGCGACTTAAATACCCTCTTTTGAGTTTCCTTTTGACTACCGACATATTATTTTGAGGTCATCTCCCTGAGAGGCGTGGATGTTTATTTTTAAGTCATCGGCCTGAACGTGAGTAGAGTTAAAACCTGTCGATGCGTTTGAGGAAAGCGATAAAGTTCCTTTTGAGCAACGCCGCAATCCAACCCCCAAGAGTATTCAATGCCGTGGCTGGCTTCTAAATAGAGAGATAGAAGCAACATAAACCCAAGGGAATACGTCGACTGGTAGGAACTCGAGCCACTAAAGCAAGCCAGAGTTTTGGCCCATTTCCTCCCTCTTAAGAGTCTAACGAACGAACGTTCAATGTGGTAGACGCTTAACTCCATCTTGAGTCGACAGCTTGCTGTAGCGGAATATAGATTGGCAAAGACTCGCAAAAGGGGAAATGACGTCAAACTTAAGGTACAGCCGTTGTTGGTAGCAATATAGAGTTCGTACCTGAGAATAGGCAAGTATCTCCAAGAGATGGACGGAAGCTGATCAGAAAAATGCCGGGAGGTGAATCGTTCACCTGGATTCAACTACAGTTGAGCCGGGGCATACTAATGACGCTCACGGATAGGCCATACCACAATATGGTATCCTATACCCAATTTCGACGAAATATTCCTTCTGGTGGAGGATTGAAGAAGGTTAAATAAATAGTAACTGGTTTGTCAGCCAACAAAACGATGAAACTTTGTAGCATAACATGCAGGACAGAAAGATAGGGAAAGCCTTTAACACCTGCAGCCGTCTTAGGACAGCTGAGGCCCCAAATTTTGTATCCACGGTGCCATCGTTAGCTGCTCACTCGTAGTGAACTCTCGAGACCTCGTTGTGCTTTTTTGCTTCAGATCACGTGATTTACCCCTTATCGACCCCTCGAGAGGCCAAAGAGGAAAAAGAAAAAGATGATAACGTGGGGAGTGCGAACATTAGGGAAAGAGTGTTAGAAGCACAGATTTCATGGGTAAAGTGTGGAAACCGGACCTCAACAATATCCATTGAAATAGATTCCAGTGTAGTACAGATATTGGTCAATTGATAGTCGCCACCGTCCTTGACTCGAAGAATGCCAAAGAAAAAACCCTGCAAAGTACAAAAAAGGAAAAAGTTTAATGCAAGGCAACAAAAACGAACAAGGTATCCATAGGGGGCTGGTTAGCCAGTTTCCACTGTTCGCACCTCATTTCAGAACAGGGTAAAACGAGAGATATGGTGTCTCCTGATCTAGAAAACGATGGGTGACAGCGTTAGATACCCAAGGTTTTGCTGTCAGTTGCTCAAGGGCTTTGAGAAGCGTCCCATTAATAGAAGATAGAGTTTCCAAAAGCTTACTGAGAGTAGAGACCGCATTGCAGCTGCTCCCTGATATGCCACAGAACCCCTCTCGGTTTCTTTAGAGCAGAGACCTGGAAAGTGTACAGTATCCGAGATAAGCTCTTCAATGGAGAATATAGGACGCCGTGCATCCTTCGTAAATTGTATCTGTAGCCATCGAACAGAACTTAAAATTGCTAAGCCGACTTCCATATTCGAATGCGCCAAGAGCTCACATTGGTGTCAAGCAGCGGAGAGCCCTGGTAACCAGAAATCTGAAGTTGGGATGACCGCCCTGGTTCCCCATTGCACCGTATATACGGAAGGGAAGATGCTTGTATCGCGATATTCCACAGCATGCTCGAGTGAGGGAAATTCAGTGCAAATGTCCCAAAGAGAATTGAACATGAAGAGAAAATCTCAAAAGAGAACAAAAAACATGAACAAGACGAACAAGAAAGAATACAACTATACAAGATATCATCGTAAAATTACATAAAGGGGAAAGCTGAAGGCTTCAGGCTGCGACAAGGAAAGGGGAAAGCAATGCCATTATCCATAACGAAATCCCCGATACATGAACGATTCATTTTTACGTTAACTAGATTCCTCAGCCAGACATCGTTCAAAAGCGAGAAACTCATCGGCAAAATACCCTGTGATATCCAGGCGTAATGTGCCAGAGACGCCCTTAACTTCAAGGTAAACAAATCCTTCCTGAGTGAACGCACGTCGCATGTTTATAAATGTTTTCCATATGACATAGCTGATTTTCTTCAAAGGACTTTTCCAAAACGATAAACGTGGTCCAACAGCTCGCTCGTGAAAAACTTGACGTATATGTCTCATATCTTGTACCCGTAGTTGCTGCTTCGAGACAAAGATAGGTTCGGATAAGGATATTTGCGAAGGAGTGGTGATTATCTCACGTGGCTTTAGGAACCCAAAAAATGGCCGCACATTTATTCGAATTTCGGGAGTTCTGCCACTGGCAGGGATTGCGGTAATGCGAGTTATGAGGCCTGTCCCACGGCGGATGAATACAGCACCCATAGCGCCCATGACCACGCATATACCTCCCATAGCATAGGTGATAAACTGGTTCAATTCTATCAAGGGGTCGACAGTAGTCGTATAAAAGTTCCAACCTGCATAGAGAAAGCAAAACGCCGCTGTGGTGCTGGTGGTGAAAACATATGCTCCAATTGTCGTTGCGGCATAGAGCTTGGTCCCTTCCTTGTTATTTGAAATCTCTTGTTCGAATTTAAAGTAAAGCTCTTCTATTGTCTTCCTTGGGTTTCTTGGTTTTGACAAAATGGAGGAACCGCCTTTGAGCGGGCGTAGAGTCTGCGATGCATGACGTTTTAATGTCTTCGGCGTAAAGAATTCGCACTTTGATGAAGACAAGTGTTGCAATGGTGAGAAGGTAACAGAGCAGGACGACTTTGGAGAGACAGATCGAGGGCACAAAATTCGAAGGGACATGGCGGAGACACTGGAACCGGATCAGTACATATATATATTCAATGCGTATTGTGACATCTTCGCCATTTGCAATTGGCGGGGGTTAAATCGTTACAGAACATCAATAAAGACAGAAAAGTACCAGAAAGATAAACAGAGCCTGCCACTAGTACTTACACCAAGAAAATGAGGAAATTGAAGCTGCGTAGTCTGCTATTATCAACCTCAAGTCTTTCGATGCCAGAGAGGATCTTGAAAGCCCGATTCGCCGGAACATCAATCCTCCGGCAGGGTAGAGAGCCGCTAGTCCAGATATGGTAAGGCGCTCAGCCTCAACGGCATCCGCAGTTGGGATATCAGAGACATCCCCACCGCTGGAGCTTCACCTTTTGTCCATACAGTTTGCAGACGGGCTCTCAGAGCGTATTTGCTGCATATAACAACCTTCCGTTGTTTTAATTGTTGCAAACAACCAAACCTTTCTGAATCGGAACATCAAAAACTCTTATCTTTACTCCGCAGAGGCAAAACATTTCGTCATAGAAAGGACCTTCACCAGTTCGGTGCCATGGCCCAGGCTTCTCGCATACCATGTTGGATTTCACGATGCCGTCTCAATTCCTTCAATACCGTTAGATGTGAGCTTCCTTCTCGCTGCTAGTGCTTCTTTTGCATTGAATGGAGAACAATATTATATCAAAACAGAGCGTGGAACCTCTCTCCAAATCCAACAACCGACACTGACATCCGTGCGTCTCTAGACCTCCAAACCTCCTCTGCAGCCCAATCACAGAATCTCTCATACCCCCTTTACCCTTCCGTCGCCCAATTGCTCCATGAAAAGGGCATTCCGACATCCGATGCCTCCAAAATCCCCGCCTCCGGGCCTCAAGGCCGGCTCCTGAAGGGTGATGTCCTCGCCTTTATCGGTGCAATACCAGCAGACTACTCCTCAAACCTTTCCGCCCAGATCTCCAAACTCGCCCATCTAGACCTCAGCAATATCAAAATCAAAAAACCTCTCGCTGAATCTCAAACTAAACCTGAACCGCCACCCACACCCTCCCAACCCTCTCCGCCCCAAGAAACCGAAATCTTGCTCCCAATCTCGCTCAACCCCGTCCTAAGCATGCAAGAACGCCTCCAAAAGGTTCTAGGCATCACAGTCCCCCTAAGTACCCTCCTCGCCCGCGCCACAGACACAGCCAACGAAGCCCTCCCGGCGTCCCAGATTACATCCCGCTCTCAATCTGCCGACGCCCTTTTTGATGAGATAATTGGCATAGCGCCGACAAAGGCCACGGCCACGGCCACTTACCCCCCCACGTCTCGCGGAAACTACATCCCGGAGATATTTGCACCGGAGGAACATTCCGCGCCTGCTCCTACTCGGGAGGTCCAGGTCCAGGAACTGGATATCATAGACATACTATCCGGGAAAGCCAAGTTATCATCACCTCCTTCACCACCCTCCACCAAGGCTGCAACTCCACTCGATTCCGCGGCTGTCGATCTCGCCACCAATATCTTCAGCATTAAAGTTCCAGTAGCTGATCGATTGCGCGGGGAGACGTTCCTGGCACGCCTGCGTGACGTGCTGCAAGATCAACCGGAGAGCTTGGTGTTTTGATTTATTTTTTTATTTTATTTTATTTTATTTTTATCTTCCTCTCCACTTAAAACGAAGCAAGGGTAACTTAATTTAAATACATGCGGCAGGAGAGGAATTTCTTACTTGTGTTGTGTGGTATAATAAACGTGTTCACAGGTTATATTTGCATATGTTTTGAATTTATTTTGCCCTGTTTGGTTTGCATCTTCTCTTTCATAGTTAGTTCTCTCCTTAGTTTCTCCCTCCCTAGGTTATCCTCCGCCCGCCCTATGCTTTTGCCCTACATACTTGAAAACACTGCCTGACACACCAACGTATACTCGCTGTTCTTTACGCACTTCCCCCCTTTCATGGACTTCTCGATCAAATGACACGAGCAGGATCACTTCTCCAAGTGCATACATACATATATATATATGTGTGTACAGTACATGTACTATATCTACTACTACTGTGTGATAAATTATCTGTCCACATAGTTGATATGTATAGCACGGGAGTGGGTTGAAAGGGAGATACCGTACCTCACATTTATAATCATGACGCAATTTCCCATTGCTCTAATCTCTAAAACAAGCGCCCGTTGCCACACTACAATTACCAGCATAGAAGATCTAGAGCAGAGCAGAAATCTATAGATGGATAAACCCCACACCCCATGTCCCACGTCTACAAGATATACCCCGTCCATATTCCAGCTTCTACAGAAGTCACCTACCCATCCCCCACACAGATATATCTTCACAAGCCACGACATAGAGAGCAGGGACAAGGAAAAAACAAAAGAACAAAGCCTTCATCATCAACCAGCGTTAAAATTAGAGTAAATAACGAATATTATAACAGCCGTCACATTCCCAATCCCGTTCCCGTTCCCGTTCCCTT